ACACAAGTTAGTTTATATATCAGGTATTTGTATTAGTTGTGAATGTTTCTATTTATTTAATATTAGTTGTGAATGTTTTTATTTTTCATTTTAGGTACTTTTATCATACTTTTATGATGCCAAGCTCAATGATAACAAAATTTTCATTTATTAGCCCTCACAACACTAGTACCTACAGTGTTGAGTATCATTCTCAAAAGATTACTGATGCATTCAAAGCCAAAGGCAAGAGAAACATGTTATTTTTAGCTCCTTACAATCCAGGGTTAGTTGTTATGGTAAGTTGTTATTGTTATTCATCTTTAAATTTAGTTGACATTTTATTTAATGAAATATTTTATTTTTTCAGGCAACATTGGGTGCTTGTTTGTATCAATTTATTCCTACTTGTGATTTATTATCTTGACTCATTAAGAGATAGTGTCATTAAGAACTACAAATCTATGAAGATATTATTTAATCAGTAAGTTTTTGGTTCTATATTCTTTATATATGTTTATTATAACAATTAGTTTTTACTTGGTATGCTTAATCATTATAGGATTGTAGCACATTATCGAGGTGGTGAAGGTCTCCCTCCAAACACCAAAAGATTTGATCCTGTTGAGTTTTATTCATGGAAAAGAATAAAGGTTTATATTATTTTCTTAATAAAATTAGTTGGTATATATCTAAAGGATTGTTTGATTGATATTTTATGTTTGTTATTCTGAATAGGCTATTCTAGATTGATGTAGAATTTTTGAAAAATTCTAAAACTTTCAAGTTATAAGGGAGACTCTGTCAAATTTTTGACAGCAAATACTTGTATTATATATATAATTTCATCCCTAAAGTATTTTAAATTAAGTTGAAATTTGTTTCTACCATATTTTGATAATGACATCTTTTATTGTTTTATAGGTACCTATACAATTATAAGGTTGGGATTATGGATACTATGTTATGAAGTTTATAAGAACAAAACAAGAATTGATCATTCCTAAAAATGTAAGCCAAAAGCTTTGAAATTAAATTAATATAATGTTAGTTACTTATATATTGCTTTCATATCTTGTATAGTATTTTGTTAGAGCAAGATCCTTGCATTTTACTATGGAACAAATAAAAGATTTAATTGAAGAGTGGTCATAATATATTATTGACTGTTTTTGATAGGAAGTTAGATTTTAATGTTAGAAAAATACCAATAATCTCATCTGTTAAGCTTGCTGGAAATCAAACAAACTAGTTAGGAAATTGAAATTGTTGTTTTAATTTCAAGTTATTTCCTTGTATTTAAATTTTTATGTTTATTTTATTTTTGAATTAGTTTTTGATATTGGCATTAGTCATTTTTAAAGAGACATAAAAGGATAAATTTTAAAAAATGTAAATTAAAAAAAAATTATGGCCCACAGGAGTGCTCATTATTAGAGCACTCCTGTATGTCAATATACGGGAACACTTTTGACGTGAGCACTCTTGTAGGTGATCTCGTAGGTCATAATTTAGTCTTAGATATATGGGAGCACTTTTTAAAGCTTATCTTGTAGTAGTGGGAATAGATTATTCTTGTGTGTGTTCTTTATTCCCGAGTAATCAACTCTCTTGCCTATTCAGAATTAGCTTATTTGGGAATAGCTATCCTTATGCTGAAATAGTGGCTATCTTCTTCTAAAGCAATTCTCACTATGTCATTCCAAAGTTTTTTATTCAGGAATAGCTTATTCAAGAATAGCTTCCCTTATTCTCAAATAAATATTTTCAGACCATCGTATGCATAAGTTTCTTCTAATATAAGAGTTATATTTTGAAAGAACCAATCTTGTGCTTCTTATTGTTATGTTCTTCACCATTTTAGAATAAGCTTGTTTATTTAGGAATAAGCATGAAGAAACTTGCTCTGTTTCTCACGTTTGTAATAGGGGAATTTCAATTCTCTCTTTATTCTCTTTCTTCTCACTTTTCTGAGAGTCATGTTAGTTATTTAATCTTCCTAGAATCATTTTAAACACAACTTTGGGTTGGATTAAACATGTCTTGATTATTCCAAATATCCCTACTCCCAAATAGCTTTCATTTTTCAGGTATAATACTCAATGGTAATATTGTCAAAGCATTAAATGCTTGAATGTTGTTATGTTTGCTTTTTGCTCTAACACACAAATCCATCTAAAAAGCTACCATTTTCCACTATCTCTTTTAAGTAACAATACTGTTGCAAAGTAACAAACCTGTACTTATATCTATGAAAGAAATAAACAGACTTATATTTTGTGAAGAAGATCAAAAGAGAGAAGGAGACTACTCCAACGGCTATATTAATGAGTCTAACGGATCACTTATCAACTCCAATTATAAAAGGATTCATTTATAAAGATTGAAGCAAAGAAGTAATGTTGCGCAAGCTGTGATATTCAATACTCTCAACTACCTCTGTTTTTATTTTTAATATTGTTGTACTTCAATGTATTCATTTACTCAATGAGTGACTTTGTATTAGTATTACTTTATGATCAAATTCTCTCTATTATTTATCTTAGCAGACTTAAGATCAAGGGATTTTAAATGAGTACTAAAATTACCTCTATAAGGGGGAGAGAAACATACTTGTAAGTTTGAGAGATTGTAAGTAGCTTCACAAGTGCCCGAATCGAACTTGTGGATTTTTGTAAAAGAGAGTGATACAGACGTTAAGTCTGAGATTATACTGGGCTTTATAAGTGCCCGGATTGAACTTGTGGTTATATTGAAAAATCTCAGAAGATTCTTGAGAACTAGTATAAGCCAAGTGGATTAGGCTAAACCAAGGTAAATTCCTATGTATTACTCTTTATCTTTCTCTTCTTCATTAGCTTTGTTTATCCTATCAACCTTCACATTCCAAGTTTTTGTGATTAAGAGCTTTTGGTGAAAAATCAAAAGACACCCAATTTACCCCCTTCTTGGGTGATCAGCATACTTATAGGAATGAGAGAAAAGTAGCCAAAAACACAGAGTTTTGTATTTCGTGTCTTGAATGCATGACTATGTTTGAAACATATCCAACAGGAACATGCTTAGAGCCGGGCAAGTGGGTTGAGCCCACGGGCTAGCTCGTTTAACCCGCACAATTTGACGGATTGGGTTAAAAAAAGTAGCTCCTTTTTTAAAACGGGATGGGTTAGCCCAACCTCGTAAAATTAGCAGGCTAAAACGGGTTAGCCCGCAGGCTAAACGAGTTGGCCCGCTGGCTAGCATATTTTTTAAAAAATAATTTTTTTATTTTTTAATTACATTATATCTTTTTATAAATATACAATAATGATAATATTTCCTAAATATATAATTTATGACTCTCAAATATGTTTTTTACATTTAAAATATAGTGTAAATCCTTTTTACAATTTGCAAATAAAATTTTTGTTGTAGTTTGTGAAGATAATTTATTAGTTTTTATAGAAATATTTTGAATATATATTATTTATTAATCTCAAAAAATCTATTGATTGAAATTATAAATATGAATTCACTGAGAAAAATAATATGGGTTTATATTTAAATTTTCTTTCTCAGTGACAAAGATAGCATACCTAAGCAAGAAGATGATTGATAGTAAAAATCTAGCAAAATGAATTTGCTTGGTTGAATTCTATATTTATTTTATTTATTTACAAGTTTTTTAATTGCTAATTTTTTTTAACATATGAAATAAATAAATATATTTATATTATATAAATTTTAAATTATTAAAAAAATTAATAATTTTTTGCGGGCCAGCCCACGGATTGGCTAGCCCGCTAGAAAATGGGTTGAGTTGGATTTTCCAACCCGTTTTATCTGGCGGGCTGGCCTAGCCCAACTCACAAAAATGTCAGCCCGTGCGGGCTAGCTCGCAGATTGGCTCGTAACTTTTTTGTCCAGTATTAGACATGCTAGCATTTTGCATATATTCGTGCTTCAAAGGTTGTGATGCAATCCAATTTTTGTTCCATCAAAGTCAAAACTTGAAAGTTAGTGAAGTGTGAAGTCATATTTATTTATCCAATTATCAACATCATGAGCATGTACTATAACTAAAAATACTTGCAAAGGCCCTTTTTCCTTTATAGGTGCTAAAACACAAAAAGAAAGGGAAACGAAACAACTAAACAAGCTACTGTTGATTGGGAGAATGAAACATAAATGTTTGCATGTTGGATGTTTATGAACCCCATTGCCCACTCTTCTTGTTTGGCTTAAAAAATTGAAAAAAAATTTTCCCTCTCCTTTCCACCAATCCTTCCCTCCAAATTGGGGGATTAGGAGGAGTGGTAAAATTTATCACGCCCTGGCTAATATGCCTTTTGTGATAAATTTAAAAGATACAAATACACTTCTCCAACATCCCAATACTAATAACTTCTCCAGCATCCCAATACTAATAAAATGAGAATAAAGTTGTTCGTATATAATGATTTTTACTCCCATCCCTTCCTAAATCAAATAAGGTAACATTAAACTCCTCTTCTCTCCTTTCCTCGAACCAAACACATCCTTAATATCGATGTCTATTTGTAAGTTGTTTATTTGATACATTATAATGGCCAACTTGTAGGATATTGGCCTCTGGAGGAAGAGTGCTAAAAGTACTTCATGAAAAGAACCAACCTGACGTTATTGAATTCTCACCGGACATTCCTGTCCCCATCATCGAGGGGGCCTGATTTTGGAGATCAGAATTGAGCAACTTGACAATGTTGATGCTATCATGTCCTCAAGCCATAAGCCACACTAACTAAAATGAAACAAGAAATTGTGCAGCAAGACATGGTCCCCCAAAAATTAAGCCAGTAAAAACATGTTTTGCTAATCCGTTTCTACATTTATTCTTATGTTTCTACAAGACCAACCAAATAGTCTAATTGTTCGTTAAAACAGAGATACTTTGATTAGGGCAAGGAAAACATGAGAATCCCAGATACTAAATAAATCATTAATGTTTCGCCAGATAAGAGAGTTCCATGGAGAATCAAACTAAAAGACAAGGAAATCAAGATCTGGCAAGAAAGTGGAAATAAAAGCAACCCCCGTGTGAAGACAGTTGATGGTGTGCCATTTGGGGGCCAATTGAACAGATACATTAAAATTTTATGCATTGATTGAGCTACATATTTTAATTCCATTTGGTATTTCAATTACTAAAGAGAAATACTCAGACATCGCTACTCTTCGATCTAGATTGCTGAAAATCTTTTATCTCTCCCTCCAGAGACGTAGCAGAACGACCGGCCATTTGATCTGTGAAAGTCCGTCGCTTCAACTTCACTTCACCGCCATTAAAAGCTCGACCAACCAAAGCTTGCAACCTCTCAGGACTCGGATACGATTTCCTTTGCAATAATCCTGAGCATGAATCCAGGAACTCTGTGTATGCTTCTACCACAAGCTTCAAGCTTGCTTCTTTTATCTGTTCCCTCAAATCTTCGTCTGGTATGTTGTAACACTCTTTGTGCTTTTGACAAGTATCATTCACACACTTTAAGAAGGTTTCAATTTTTTCGGTCACTATACCTACAATGATGTTCTTCCCTATTGTATCCACTTCCTCCATATCCAAGATCCTTACTAGAACTCCCCAAGCTTGCATCTGATACAAGTAGGCCGATTCCTCTGCAACTGCTTTGTACTTCCTTTTCAAATATTGATCACCCAATAGCTCACCAAGCTCTGAGTTCCTCGCCCTCATATATATGTACCAGTACGTATTCATTGTGAATATATAGATTAAAGTTTTGTCTCTGCAACGAGAGCGTTTAGACTCCATGTTTCTTTGAAGGGCATCCATGATGTTAAAAACGGCTTCCTTTAGTAAATTCTCGCCTGCATCAGGTTTTGACAAGATCCCAGCTTTCCAAACCTGCTCTGTTTCTAGAACATTTCCCATAGATTCTCTGTAATTCTTCGTTGCGAGGTATTTCAGGTAATTAATGGCATACCGTACTAGTTTCGGAACAGAGCCATTTCGTGGAGGTGGAATGCCATCTGCATTCCCTTCTATTTGCAGCCCAAATTCCCAAAATACTTTGCTTGACGCATCGATTATAAGCTTCTCGAGCTCTCTGAACCTTGTGCAGAAATCCATTCCAGCTTCGCCGTCGAAAATATCCGAGAATTCGGGTTTGAGTTTATCTAAAGTCTCAAACATATCCAACAGCTTGAACAACTTTTGTGGCTCTTTGCTGCTTCTGGCTACACTTTCTCCGAAGCGAAAGAACACGGCCATTATTTTGTCAGCTATTTTGGCGAAGCATTCGGGCCATACTAGTCCAGCCATGATTTTACCCAAAACTCTGCAGCAAAGCTTCTTTTCAGAGAGTAGTACTTTCTTAATAGCAACTTCAAAGTGCTGTATCCAAAGGGTTATTGCCATTTCTAAGCTCTCCCATTCCATTTCATCTATTCCTTCTGGAGTATATGTTCTCAAGTAATCTGGGTTCAACCTCATTAATGCCTTGGCAGCCCTTCTATATCTCACCTGTCAAATCGTCCATAGAAATTGGCAAATAGTGAGTGAAGCATTATCAGTTATAACATATGAATAATTATTATAAAGGTTACCTTAACGTAGATGTCAATGCATATATCCAAGCAATCATTGGCAGCTAAAGTATCTGAAATTCGTCTCAGCACTTCAATTTCCAGCTCTGAGCCTAAGTCAGAGTCAACGACGGTGTCATATTCCCCGACGTTATGATGCTTTATTTGCAGCAATATGCTCTCCAATTCATCTTGCATATGAAGTAACGCCTGGTCCAGCAAACCTTCAAACCTCATGGCATCAACCTCTGTTTCATAGAGCGCCTTGAGAGTGATTAGAGTCTCCCTTAACCTCTGTGTCATGTATTGATCTGCCGCCTTTGTTCGGCTTATAAATTCAACCACCTCTTGAAGCTTCTGAATGACTAGTTCACCATCTTGACTTATGGAACTGATAGCCTCATTAAGCTGATCAACACAATCCGTGTAATCGAGAAGATTCTGGAGACGTTTTTGCGGTGTCTTCTCTGACAGGATGGATGAGAGATCAAGAAGCTTCTGTTGGAGGGACTCGTAGAACTTGAAGCTGTCAAGGAGTCCAACTGCAGGAGAAATAGCTCTGTTGATTCTTGTATCAAGGGCTTTGGTGGACATGGCCAAAGTCTGTAAAGGGGCCACGCTTTTGGATACTGTGGATAGAGTTGCTTCTGTAACATTGAACCTTGTGCCCATCTTTGCAAGACTATCTTCCAGTTTCTTGGAAGCTTGAAGGAGATCTTTCAAATTGGAGCATGCTGACTCAAGATTGATAACTGCAGATTCTTTTCCAGTGGGAGCCATTGTTTTTGAGAAATTCAAACCCCGTCCGTGTTGTTAAGAAATATATGTGAGGGAGTGACAAGAAGACAGATTTAAAGGAACCACTTGACATGGCTCGATGTAAACAGAGATACAAATGGCATTTGGTTGCGGGAAAACAAACAAAACGACAAGTAGGGAACCTTGGAATTGGATATAATAATGCAAAGCCGGAGGGAAGGAATTGGTCAATAACATTGTTTTTTCTCATATGTGAGATGAGAGTTGCATCTCGAGGCAGAAGAGTCTGGTTCGGTTGGGGTAGAGCCGTAGAGAGAGAATAATATAGAGAGAAAAAGGGGGTTGAATAAACTCATGATTGGATTTCCACATGGATTCTCAGAAACTAAAATCCCAAGCTTATACATATATACATACATACATATATAGGATTTAGATTGTTAAAAGTATTACTATTAAACATGTTTGAGAGTAATTTATTTTATCAAAATAATTTAAATCATTTTGTTAGACACACTCTAAATTTTATATTTTCTTAATTTATATTCTATTTTCTATATGTGAGAGATTTCTTTCTTTAACTCTAATATAATATAAAATGCTCCTTACTTATAATGTCCCTCCCAAAAATGAGATTTGATTTTTTTGAGTATGATATGACAAAATCATTAATAACTGTTTGATTAAATCAAACTGCTTTTATTATGTTACATGAGACACTCATTAAGCAAGTGTATTTAAATCACTCGCCAGATTAAAAATATATATATATATGCATGTATGTTATTAATTTTTATTATTATTATTTACATTTACTTAGGGTGAGTTTTATCAGTGTAACACGCAGTTAGGCTCAGTGAGTTAGATATGGTTCGTGCATCCCACCGATTCCGGCTGGCTTGTTTCCTTGCGGTTGCCGAAGATATTAAAAGTGCCTTTTTAAATCTGACTTAGAAACTTAACATGTGAAGCAATTAAACGTGAATCACATTATACCTATAGATACTATTAATGTTCTTATTTACATCACTTAAATTGTTGATTTTTTCCTGCACATTGAAATTGGGGTTACTTTATTATTCGTGATCTAAATTTGAATAACTTAGTAGCTTAATTAGCTGGTCTGAAACTTGCGAGATCTAGCTAGCTAGTGCCTTATATTATATATAGTATGCACAGTTCACAAGTTAAATTTAAACAGTTTAAAATTATTTGTTTTATTTTATTGAGACACTTAATTCAGTTGAATCAAATTGTACTATGATCTTAAGTTCGAATTACTCTTGACATTCCTTATTTAATTTAAGGGTGGAGATTGGACAAGAGGAGGAAAAAAATAAAAGAAAAGAAAATGCGCAGGGCCGAGCAGCAGTGAGCCGAACAGTGGATCTGCGTCCTTTTGAATGATATTTTCAATATAGCACAGCTGGCTGAGTCTTGTGCGGCGTTAATTGCCGAGCATAAGTACTAAGATAACAATAGATAGATTCACCAGATTTGCAAAATGACACACAAGTCCTATGATATTTTTTTTCTTTGAAAAATGATAATAAAATCTTTTTAAATTATATAGATGATAATTTAATCCTTTAAAATGTTATAATTTTATTGAAATCTTTAAAGACTTATGCGTCAATAAATTTTAAATTAAAAATAACAATTTACCTTATTGACAAGTAGTAATTCATTATTCAATTCTTATTACTTTTTAAATAAAAGTTATTATTCATTAAATAAAATTAGTGATGAAGCTTTGTTATTTTGAGAACTTATTTTTTAAATAATAGAAATTACACTTGATCAATTGTAATTTTTTATTCAACTCATATAATTCACAAAAAAAAATATTATTCCTTAAGCAAAAATTGTGATTGAAGCTTATTATTTTTAATAAAGATAAAATAATCTTTTTATTTTAAAATTTATTAATATAAATGTCTCAAGGGACTTCAGTGAGATTATGACATTTTAAAGACAAATTAGATTATCATTTATATAATTCAAGAAATTTTATTATCATTTTTCTTTTTTTTTTCAACCATATATAAGTCCTAAGATCCTTAATTGCCAAGCAACACTATTAGACTTTGGGTTTAATGGGTTTAAATGAGGGTTAAGTTAAAATATTACAAATCCAAAAATACAATTAATTTAGATAGCATTTGAATTGATAGATTTGAATATGATTTTATATTTAAAATCTCATATTTAAGATCCATGTAAAAAAAAATTCAAGGGAATAAGAAAAATAAGTTGAGATTCAAAAAAAAAAATATTATGAATGACAAGCTTATCTTTATTCTTTAATAAGCAAAAGAAAAGAATGGACAATGATAAATGAGACAAGAGTAATAGAGGAATCATTAGTGAAAATATGAAAAAAAAATAGAGAATGTTAGAGTAGTTGAAATTTTAGATAACTATGAAAGGAGAAAATTTAAAATTATAAAAAATTTATAATAAAATATATTTAGATATAGATCGAATCTAAATTCATAAACTTTTATGTATCTAAATGAAAGAATTTATCAAAATTCAAATTCTCATTAGTCCAAAAACAACTTGAGGCCAAACTAGGAAACAAAGGGTGGGGGCCAAATTAATAAAAATATATTATATTCCCTCCGTTTAAAAATATAAGTTATTTTTAATCGAATCTCACTCCTCAATAAAGTAGTTATCTACTTTCAAACTAACCCTATTTTTTATATTTACTCTTATTAAATACCTTACAATAAATATAAAGTTATTTATCAATAAAGGCACTTTAAAAAAAAAACAATGATTATACCTCAAAAGACTAAAAATACCTTACATTTTTTAATATCCAACTCCTCAAAAAATACTTTACATTTTTTAACGGAGAGAGTATATAGTATTATTTTAAAAAAAATAATATTAAAAATACATAACTTTATTAAAATAATTTAATAACATAAAAATATTAATATAACAATTATTTATAATCATACAACATCATAAAAAAATTAAAATAATATTGCATATTTATAATAAGGGGAAATTTTACATAAATCTATTATCATATTTTACGCATTTATTTGGTCATTTTTATAGAAAATCAGAGGAAAAGATTATAGAAATTCCCACTTAATGAATTTAATGTGTTTTTAAGAAAAGAAAAGAAGAAAGGGACGAAAGGAGACTTAAAACAGCAACAGCAAGGTCAAGGCCCAACCATTAGGCCCAAAATCAATCTCCACCCACAGACAAGGAAAAAGTTGAGCCTTCTCTACGCGTAGACATAAGAAAAGCGAGGATCCCCACTGAGTTCAGAACGTGTGAAGAACACAAAACCTCCGCCCACAAACAGTCAGCACGAAGAAGACCATCCATTGGTAGCTCGTCCGGGGTGTGGAGACTGCATGAGGAAACTTCCACCGCGTGCGGATATCTTAAGGCTTGACAATTGACCATGCATGGAGAAGCTCACTGAAATGGCTCCTTCGTTGTTCGACCGCGAGTGAACATGGAGAAGAAGAATCCGACCGTACACGGACGTGAATAATTAAAGACATGTGGTAAAGGTTCATTTAAAATCCAAATGCGAATTAAGAAAAAAAAATCTTATCAATCAGATAAGATATGATGAAAATTAGATGCCAAAAAGGAGCAAAAAAGTTGTAAATAAAACTCTTGCAGATTTCTAAAATGATCCATCCTTGTATATGAGAAGAGTCATCATGGAGGTTCTTGAGGTGATTTTTTTTTTTTTTTGGATTCTCTTCTTTCTTTTACTATGTCCTTGATTATTTGTGTTGTTTCTAAATTATTTTGCATATTTAGAGTCATGAATGGTTAGTTTTCTTCTTCTTCTTTTTTAATCCTTAAGGATTCTATCAACTTTTAATGCTTTACAGGTAGATTTCTTTCTAGTTATTGATTTTGATGAATGCTTTAAAATGCTTAATATGATTTATTTTATTCTCATGCTATTGGGTGGACAATTCTAGTATGTGTCTGGATCTTGGCATTTGCCTTTGACGAAAAGGAATCTCAAATAGATTGTTTATTAAGCAACCTAGAATTGGATTTAATCTAATTTTACGCTTGAGATAGACATATATTGAAGAGCCTTAGGTAATTTTTTAAGACTTGTGCATAATTGGATCAGAACTTGCTTGAGACATCACAATATAGTTAGATTATAGGTTTTGTAATCGATGGATACATAATCTAAATTAGAGGCTTGATTTTAAAGCTAAATTAAAACACAATAACTAGAAGAAATTGAATTGCAAAGTATAAAAGGGAAATTAGAATTCTTAAGGCGATGCTCTTTAATTGTTAATCTTACCTCGTGTTGGGTAATCCACTTTTAGTGGATCAGGTCTAATATGAGCCCATGGGATTTTTAGCAAAATATAGAGAAGATTTGGGCTCGAAAATGTAATATACTATGGGGCAAATGTGCAATTTTCCCTTAATGATTTAAAACTTTAGAGGAGGGAACGGTTTATCATTCATGCGCGCACAACCAAAAAACTATAATAGGTGTGGGTGGTTTTAAGAGTCAGATAACTTTAAAGTAATTGGTGTTATTCAAAATTCATTGTCTCGGCTTGTTCTCTCTCTCTCTCTATTTTCGAAGTGCATTTGCTATCATTCCATGAACCGAGTTTGGTCTATAACTTCATTCCCGCATACGATATATCACTCGACTAACACATAACAGGTATGCTTTCCTCCTCAAAATCTTATATTTTATCAAAGCAATCGATTTTTCTTGGCCGCATTCCTTATGTTTGAAGAACATATGATGATTTTCTTAACCATATACATTTAAATCTAATAGTTTTGTTTTTACTTATGTTTTTCGCATAATCTGCCACTGTTCATCTTTACTCTATTTTTATCATTATTCTTTCCAAATGAACATGTTCATATGCTTCTTAGTTGATAACAGTGTTCCATATAAGGCCATACATGTTTTGCATGCCATCTAACAGTGCCAAAAGTTACAATGTAAAAAAACTAAAATAATCGGTGTTTGAAAATTGAGT